TTTATCCGTACAAATATCAAAGGGTTCATTCCATTGAGTAATAAAAGCCATAAAACCATAAAATAAATCTAAAGTTTTTTTAGTTTTTTTTTTTAAATCTAAAGTTTTTTTTAAGACTAAATGCGATTAAAAGCGATCATTTTTCTTGGATATGGTGCTTTATTAAAGAATGAACTGAAAATATGAAGTTTGTTGATAAAAGCCATAAAATATATTTAAATTTTAAATTTTTTCAATTAACTATCTCCTTAAAATTTTCTGACCAACGAATAAAATAGTGATTGTAATTAACTGATGACCTTTGGTAGAATTTAGAACATTTTTCTTTCGTGCTTTCTTATAAATCATCGGGCTTGATAAAAGAGTCGGGTTTTTAATTTTTGGAACGCGAAGAAGGTCAATGTGGACGCCAGTCAAATCAAATTCATCTATTAAATGACATAGGAAAATGAATAAATCAAATTTTTAAATATATATTTCCCTTATTTTATATTTCCCCTAAATTCCATCAAAATTTCCTAAATATTTAGCTAATGACTTCTTGGCTCATAGTTAGCTTCATTCAATCGTTTACTTTGATTTATTCCAATTATAATGCAAAAGGCTTTCATCCAAAAAAAAATCGTCATGACATTTTTTTTCATGTATTTTCTTAAATTAATAATATTTTAGAAAATTCATTGCGGAACTCACTGAAATTATACATATTAAAATAAAAATTTTAGCGATGATTGCAAAAAACATTTAAACGCTTTATTGGAGAATAGAAATATTCATTTAAAGATTGTTTTTGATAGAATAGTAATTGAATAGCAGAAAGTAGAAAAGGGAAATTGGGACATTAAATAAATAAATAGGTGGTCTGGTTAAGCTAATTCCTCTGACTTTTAGCGCATTAGTGCAATGGAGACAATTGAAGATAGAAGTACGGTTAGGTCAAAGCATCCGGATTTTTTTAACGGTAGATCTATTTCGTCGAGGCAGAATCCGATCTCTTACTTCTGAGAAGGCTTGGCCGTCTTAACTTTAGCAAAATTTATCCGAAAATATGAGGATTTTGTTTTACAAAAACAATTTTTACAAACGATATTAGACCAGTGGTTGTATAATTTTTTGATTGAATCAAAAAATTCATCTTCAATCTGATAAAGTGGTTTTAAAATTTAATTTTTTGCTTATATATCTTTCTCGGCCCCTTTTTTTCTCCCATGATTAGATTTCTATTGTTATTCAAGATCTCACCTAGTTTTATTTTTAACATTTTCAATCTCTTATTTTTGCTTTCTCTATTCATTAACTTAATTCTGTAAAAATTTCAAGTTGGGAAATCTCAAGGCAAACAAAGTCATAGTATTGAATCTAGCAACAAGATAGTAACAAAATGTTGTTACGCTCTTGTGAATGTGGGCGAATGAAAGTTTCATCTTCCGTTCATCTTCAATTTGTGACCTTCTAACAATTCTCATCATTACTAGTTAGGCTGGCTGCAAAGGTAAGACGTCTCCAAGCTACTAGCTGCTCACTCTGATGCCATCACTAGTATCACTAGTAGTATAAGCCATTCCTTTTTCCATCGTGTAAGTCCATATATGAGACATACAGTTTGATACATATAAATAGCAGGACAGATTATATTCCTAATGTTTATATTGCAAAATATCATAAAATTCTGGAAAAAAAGATAAGGAAATAACGCCGATAACGCCGAATTAAATTGTCTTCATTAAAGTTTTTAAGTATAAATTCAATTCTCAAACTTGAGTTGGTTAATTTAAAGCTGATTGAAATAAATATTACTATTTTTTTATTGAGCCAAGGATTTGAAAAATATCAAAATTCAAGAAATACATAGTGATATCGGTTGTTTTTTTCTTTTAATAGCGCTCACCACTGTAAGGTTACATTAGATATAGGAGGGAGCTCACCAGAATGTTAAATTTTCCGAATTTCATCTTTAATTACATTTTTAATGATATGTTTACGGCGAATATCCCATTTACGGATAGGAATCGAACATTTGATATTTTAGTCGAAGAAACACATTATACCAATATTATTGAATTATCCCCACTCCAGAGTAAATGGGAAAATGGCCCATAGTACTGACAGATTAGAACAAATATATCAAAAGCAAATAAATCGAAATCGAGTCGAAAATTGATGGAGCCACTAATACTTGGCCATTCTCACGCTTGAACGCTTTATCTTCCATCAGTCCGTCACTTCTTTATTAAGTCAGAAACTAAGTGGTTCCGTAAATTTTAACAAAGAGACTGAATAGTCCACACTATGAGGTTTTTCAGGTTTTTTTCACTAAAAGGTGGATTTTCAGAGATTTTACTATATTATTTTGGAATTTGCACAAAATTTCAATGAATAATTAAGGAAACAAATTGTTAAATGGGCGGTTCTCAACAAACATTCCATAATTTATTCATTTGATCACCTATTATCCTTCATCATTTGTTCAATCCGCTTGATTCTTTTTATTATTCATTTTCAATTATTTCGATTATCATTATATCATTTTTATCACTTTATTTATTGTTTGTCGATTATAATTTACATTACACCTATAAAATACAATATCATATAAAATGCGCATTTGAACCAAAATGGAAAAACAATTAACACTATGGTGAGCATATTAGGTTATTTCTTGGCATTCTGAAAATCTTTGAATTCTGAAAACTTATTCAAACCACAATTTTTTCAACATAATGATATATTGAGCAAAAGAATTATTTCATTTTAAAATATTTTATTTTGCTTAAATTAAAACGAAAAATCAAATCTATCATCTTGAATTTATGCTGATTTTTTTTTTTTATTCAAAACTTTATTATATGCGTAAATAGAGATTGTAGGGAACAACCATAGCGAGAAGAAGTATTTAGGGAAACGAAATTACATAAAATGTTAGAAAGTCACGCACGATTTATTTGGCTTTTGGATGAAAATCAGCATAAGCTAGCCAAAAACAATCTCAGATCATGGTTTGCTCAACGAAAAATCTTGCAAAGTCTTTCATTTCGTCAGCCTAAACTTCCTTCATAGTTTTCGCACAAATCGATTAAACTTTATAATATAGTTTTCTCTGAAATTCTTTTTTTCGAATCATTAGAAATTTTATACGCAATTTTTCGCACAATTTTTTTTTTTTGATTGTTTAATGCTAATCTTAATCACTTAAAAATCACTTTATTTTGCATTGGGATTGTTGATTAAAATTCGAAAGTTTGGCACACTTATATTAAATATTTTTTTGAAAAATTATTTCCAAAGTTATTATCAATAGAACAATTAGTTTTTCTATGGTTTTTTGTGTCAAATTTAATGAAAATCTTTGGCCAAAATTCTCGATAAAGATACTTCCATGAATTAAAATAAAAAATTCGATGCGATAATTTTTAATGTTTTAATTTTTCAGAAATTCTCGACTGGAGAAAAATGTTCACAATTTTTATTATTTCTATGTTAACGGTAATTTTATCTTTATTGCTCAAAATTTATTTAAATGCTCCCTTATATAAATTAGAATTTAGGAATTTTAATATTTTAAATGAAAAGAAGCGGGGGAAAGAATTTTTTTCCTATTCCACTGAACTCATTCGGTTGACTGTTAGGGGTGGCATTTTTCCAATACTGTCTAATATCTTATTGAATTGAATATAATCAAAATAAGTAAAATGAAATGTGAATTCCGTATTTTGAAATTCCTTGTAAAGATTTTCGTGATGACCTCAATTGCCTTTTTCTTCCAATCATTATTAAACAAATTCTCACTTATAATCGGTTCACTTTATTTCAATTGAATAAAAGATCGTTCATTCATTCATGAATTCGAACAAATGTGCAAATCACATTACTTGCTAATAGCGCATATCCTAATGTTATTAAAGAATAAATTTTTACGATCGTGATAAGCGGCAAAAGAAATTTAAATAAAGTCAAAACAAAATATTAAGAAATGGCAGTGAATATTATGCTTTTCTGATCAACAATATTCCAATAATTTCTTGAAAAAGAGTGAATTTTTTCGCATCCAATTTTTTTATAACAATTTTATATAGTGAAATATTTTTCAAGAAATGAATTTAGCGGATTATTTTGAAAAAAATAATCAGTTTCAACGAACTAAATAATATAAAATAAAAGCTACATTTAGCTAAAAGCTAAATAAAATAAATAAAACAACAAATACTGGCCTGGATGTGCGAAAAAAGATTTGGATGTGAATCTGGTTGTTGAACACAACAAAGGTGTGCCTTGATCGCATTTATGGAATTTCAAATGCAAGACGTATTTTCAGACACCTCTATTGTATATTTGAAGCTGCATACAGGAATAGAGGAATAGTTGTTTCCTGCAATTTGTTTCATTTTAATATTCTATGCATTAATTTTCTAAATTATTCACTGGTACTAAAGTGGCATAATTTAGTGAGGCCCACATTTTTGCTCTCTTATTGGTTCCTCAGTTTAAATGTATTTCAAAAAACAAAGCACAAAGCATTTCAAAAAATTTAGTGGTTGAATTTGGTTACTTGAAAAAATTGAGCTGAGCAGATTAAATTGCATTAGCTTAAAGCCATCACCATAAGAAAATTTTCTCCAAAAATTTTTTTCGTTGGAAAATTTTTATTGGCAATATTTAAATAAATCAGTGATTTGTTGTGAACTTACAAAAATATTGATAACATTGATTTAGGATGGAATCAGGACGTCATTTATCGACAACGGAATACTTGGTGATCCATATATTGATTGTGGGGATAATTTTATTGAAGTCTGCATTTTTATCAATTCTTATCAGTTCATTCATCAAAATTCATTGCATTAAGAAAGAAATTTCAAGTTGCACCTTTTGGACGCTGAAAATTACATTTCTTATTAAAAATGTATCATACTATGGCATTTTAAAAGTTTCCTTTAATTTTATTCTCTATCATATTCTTTGGCTAATCTAAGTCGTTAGAACGATTTTTTACTATTTATTTTATGAAATTCCAGGTCCGATTTGACACTCGGAACGTTTTCAATGGCCTAGTTTTTGTCGAAGATCATTTATCAGATCCTGAATGCCGGTCATCAACAGTGAAAGGTCTTAATAAGAATGGCTGTAATGCCTCTTTGAAGCTGGGTTTTAGAGGATGTGGAATTGAAAGAAGGCGCTCAGTAATGCAATATCCTTTGTTATCCTTTATTTTTATGAATTCGTAGATCTCTTGCCATTGGTCCGACAGCTCTTGCGGTGATTGTTCCTGAGCACATCAGGCCTTCAAGTCAATAATAAGTCAATACTATTCTAATACAAAAAATTTGAAGCACATTTACACTAAAGAATTATTACTGTGTATATACATAATAACTGAACATTAGAAATGCGATTAATTAAAAATGTTGAACATTGCAGAATGATCCAAAAGGAATGTTTATAACCACATCTCTAATAGTCGCTTTTCATCCTGAATTTCTTACAAAAATTGATCGAGTTTATGTTGTTCAATGTTTTTATATGGAAATGGAAAAAATCTTACAAAAAGATATACAAATAAAGTATGAAAAATATCTATTGCATCATATTGGTTATTTCTAAATTTTCTTATTTTTATGGCTATTTTGGTAAGGTCGAATCAGCGTATCTTTAATACAATTTTATTTGCTAAATAATCAGAGATTGAGATTAGATCGCTTTCAAATCGATTGCAAAAATTTTTGTTGAATATCTGACTTGAGATTGCATTGATTCAATAATACACATTGTTACTTTTTGAAGAATGCCTTCTCCGCCGCTGCAAACGGGACAAGTGCCTATGCCTATTTGCCGCTATGAAGTGTTGGATGGTTCGCCAAGTGGACCTCCGATATTTTATGCAACTATAGGGCAAATGGTTAGTCAGATTTCTTGAATGATTTATTCCTATCCTATTTTTTTTATTACTATTATTTATTATTTATTGCCTATTATTTATTCACAACGGGGAATGCCGGTGATCCATCTGTAGTTTTTTTTTCTAGCCAAATTACTTCCTGGCCAAAATTTTTGAACTCTCCAAGTTCATTGAAAAATAAAAAATATATAAATATAGGTATAACTGAATAAATAATTAATCTAAAAAACTGGAAATAAAATAGTATTCGCCCATCGTCATTAATGAATTCAATAATATTCCTTATTATTTTAATTTATTTAAAATCTTTAATAAAAGCATTCAATTCAGCAAATCTTATTTTTAATGATCTTTTAATTCTACAACTGAATAAAAAGAACAACAAAATTTCAAATTTTAATTCAAATTTATTCTCATTATAGAAAAAATTAATCCAAACTAACTTATAAATGAACATCCAAGCTACGATAGATTATAAAAAGATTAAAAGTGCTATAAGAAAATTATAAAATAAAATAATTTTATAAAATAAAAAATAATAAATAATAAATAAAATAAAATAATTTTATAAAATAAAAAAATAACAACAATAATCTTTGAAAATATTGATCAAAGGTATATCACAAATGGACATGCGAAGCAGAAATTGAGAATCAATTTTGCATGATCGTACACAGTTGTTACGTTGATGACGGTAATGGTGATCGAGTTCAACTGATTGATCGAAACGGGTATTTTCAAATTCCAATCCAACCTATAATTTTTTTTCATTTCCTTTATCTAATTCTTCATTTCCTTTATCTAATTCTTTTAATTTTTGTAAAATATTTTCCTTTAAACAACAAAAAAATAAAAAAAAGAATTTTTTGCCAAAAAGTAAATTAAGATGTGCACAAGACAAGTATTTATTGCAAAACTTGGAATATTTATCTGATTTAATGGCTGGGAAAGAAGCACACGTTTATAAATATGCCGACCGACAATCAATGTTTTTTGATTGCCAGATTACTTTAACAATAAAAGAGCAACAGCAGATTGCTTGTCCGGTAAATTAATTTATCTGAATATACTAATAAGTAATAATTAACATACAAGTCAACGTCAACAAATAATACTTTTTTTCTCGTTTAATATATTCTTCGCTGGGAAAAAAATTATCAAAAGAAATTTCGCAAGCTTAAATTCACCCACTTATCAAGGATAGCCGAATGGTATGGTTGCTTCGTGTCAAATTTTTTTATTCATTAAAGAAACAAATTTTTTATTAAAAAATCCGAGTGGTGCTGGCGATCCACCCATATCGCCAAGTGGTTTCCTGGCAAAAATTTCTAATTAGCAAAGCTAGCCTAACCAGAAATGGTGAGCATTAATCACATTTATTCACAATTTATAAAGCAAATAACAAACAAATATAGGCACCAATGTGTCCTGAACCGCCTCGCAAAAAAAGAGCTGAAAAAAAAGCGCAGAATTTGGAACAAACCGATTCAGTTATGGAAAATACGCTTTCTTTTTATAATAATAGTAAGCTTAATTTCAGTTGTTTGTAACTAAAAATTTTCTGCTTCCTAAGAAAATCATTCTTTTTTTGAGATGAAAAATGAAATATTGAACAATGCAAACAAGTGAGTTGGAAGACTTGTGCCACTTTTAATTTCATCTTTATGTTGAGAATAACAATAATGTATACAATTAATGTTCTAAATCATGAAAAGAAACGAATGAACGCTCTCAAAAGAATGGATCTTAGAAATGATTAAAAAAATTTAGATGAAACTTCTAATGAAGATTTCTTGATAAGACAAGATCAAATCGAAAGAAATAGTTGGTTGAATGAAAATTTCGACTTTCATCAAGTAACGTATTTCATTTTTGAAGCTAACATGGACCTTAACTTAAAAACTGGAATTAGAAATTAGCACCGATGTCCAAAAAACCTAATGTCCGTCACAGATCTGCAAAATTTATTAAAAGAATTAGTCATTACCAAAAAAAAAAAATAATTTTTTAATCCCTAATGAATGAGAAAGTAGTTTAAATTACTTGGAGCGTTAAATTGCATAATTTTAAGTTATTGCAATTTTAATAAAAATTTATAATTCCTTCTATTCTCAAAGAATTTGCAGATGACCTATAAATAAAATTTTTTTTTGAAAATATTAAAATATGTATATATATATATATATATTATATACTATATACTACTATCTTAAATCTTTTAGTTTTTTATAGAAAGGATAAACTTTCAGAATGATATATGCATGTCAGTGCTTGGACTATTAGTTATTTTAATAATTAATATTATTATGATCTCTATATCAACCGCTTTCTTCTATAGAATCTATAAGTACTGGACTGACAAATGCTATCAGAATTATTAAGAAAATATAACTGCATATAATATTACCGTTGGTTAGTATTTATGCTTTTTTTTCGATTCATTCTACTGACAGCTCGTAGGATGAGGCGATTTCATTAACGATTAATTTGGAGATAGAAATGCAGAAAACCCGTAGTATTACTGACATGTCTACTTCTGCCAAGATCGAGCCATTTAAGCAAAAATTTGATAATTTATCACTTTACAGTCATATTATTGCACTGAAGACAAAGTTTACTAATTAAGCCCTACAAGAAAATTTGTTGTTCGACTAAGACCTGAAAAATGTATTTGTAAAAGTCAAATGCAGCAGAAATATTCTGCAACGATTAGTTCTATAAGTTCAGTTTAAAAAGATTATTGAAATATCGCTTTATAATGCTCAGACTTAAAGCACTGCAATACGAATTAAGAGTTTTTAACAATTAGCTAATTATTATGTCTGCTTTTAAACATTCCAAAAAACGATATAATTTGTTTCAAACTTTCAGGAAATATTGCCAACAAGAAATATTTTCTAGGAGAGGCAACTTTGAGATGACTGCTTTGCATTCCGCTAAAAAAAAAACAAAAAAACAATTCATTACTTAATTAAGCCAAAGAAGTGTTCTTTTTTCTTTCGTTTATCAATTTACAAAATGGTTTTATTTAATTCAACCGCAAATTTTGAATTGTTTAAAATAAAATTTTCGAGCAAACTTATTAATATTGTTATTATTAATCAAAAATATCTGCTTGTTTCCTTTATTTTCATTTCATTTTCATTTATATTTCTTAAATTTATGGTGGATAACGAATAAAGAAAAGTTTCTTACAATTCTTCAGCTATGATTTAAGCAGTTATGGTTGGGTGACCAATCAATTTCGAACAAAAATCTATATTTCTTATGGTTATGTTATGGTTACAGATTCGACTTTCTAAAATTATGATAGACAAAGCAATAATGGAAAATTTTTGCATTTAAAAATTAGAAATTAAAAATTAACCTATTTTTTAGCTTAAAATCTCGTGAAGCTTAAATCAATTTTCTTTGCAGTTCGTAATAACTCTAATCGTTTTTGTAATATTCACTTCACTTATAACATATATATTTTTCATAAAATTTTAATTGTTTTCTTTACAAAACGATTATTATTTAAAAAACGATTATTTTAGCTGAATACTTTATCAGTAAATCAATAAATCGATTAGACGTAACATTTATGATGTCTTTTAATTAATCACATGAATAACCAATGTGCATTCTAAATGAATGAAATCATGATAAAAATCTTGCTAAGAATATTGTTAGTTCACAGTATATAATCCTAATGACAATATCTAATAATAATTTATCTTCGTTTATCTTAAAGAAAAATTTATAGAACAAATAACATTCTCTCTGACACAACACTTATTAAATCTGATATTCCCAAAGTTATATTGCGCCATTGCTTTTTCTATTATATATAAATGATATCACCAATGTGGTACTAAATTCCACTATTTATCTTTATGCTTATCATTGTAAAATTTATTATTATCATGGTAGAACTGATAGCCTATCTCCACTGCAGGAAGACCTCAATTGAATAGCCAACTGGCTAGCAAATTACCCTTTCCTTTCAAAAATGTAGCTTTCGTTTTCGATTTTCCTAATCTTTTTATTAATGATAATTTAATCAATAGAGTCTCACACATCTCCGGTCTTGGAATAATCATGGATGAAAATCTCGATTTCGACCTTCACTGCAGAACCATGATAAAAAAATCCTCAAAAATATTAAATTTTATTTTTCGTTCGTTTAAAAACAAAACTGAAGATTTCCTTACCAAAATGTACAAACGTTCGTTCGGCCTCTTCTTGTCTAAAGATTACCTGTTACTCCCCGAGATCAAATCAAGTAAAATAACTGAAGGATTTCAAAAATATTTTATACGACGCGTGTCTCCTAAGAGCAATTTTAATCATAAATTCACAAATCTTCCTTCTACAATACAACAAGATTTAAATTATACTTATAAAATTCTGTATGGTTATGTTAAACTAGATTTTAGATTGTCAAAATATTATAATTTCAGGCTAAATTTGAATCCAACAAAAACTAAGGGGCTAATTACTAGAACCTATGTGTAAAACTAAATTATCTATCTTTCTATTAGCTATCTTTAAAAAAAGATTGGATAATATCATTCATGATATTATTTAAAAAGTTCACATCAAGCAGGAAGGGTGAAATCTCGATTTTCGCCATACGATTATAGTTATTTCGAATTATACTATGTTATATTGTTTTGTAATTTCTTCTTTATTTCCTCTTTATATCTCTTGTTATTTTTTTTAACTTCTCATTACAGTGCATCAAGCAGAATAAAGTCATAGATTGTATTCGTTAATTCTGACCGGAGTAAACTTGTCATCCGGACGGTGTTGGTACTCCATCTATTTCTAATCGTACTAACAGCCAGCTGGTGATGATGACTAACCACTTGCTTATTTAGCTTAGAATTCCTTAAAGTGTCTTCAGTGATCCGTAGTATTCCTTTGGCTAAAAGCCCGATTAACGATGGACATTTCATCTCAGCACACAAGAAAACTTACTATATATAATTTAACACAGTTTTCTCAATAAATTATGAAAAATTGCTTTACCGTTTACTTAATTTTATAAGTTAGCCTTAATATAAACTATTATTATTATTACCTTAATGTTTTCATTTTTACTTCAACAATTCAGAAAACTTTAAGAGAAATGGAGGAGAACAATATAAATTTTTATTAGCATTTATAAATAGCATTTTTCATAATTCTTTTGAAAATTCTCTTAAAACCGCTGATAGAAAGCACAATATTTAATCAATAAAATAATATAAAATGAACGAAAATATATTCGAGTTTTTCATCAGTTCACATAGCAGTTGTTGTTTTCTTTTCCACTTTTTTTTTAAAAATTGTTTTCAAACTTTTTTTCGTTTTGTTGAAAAGTAAATCTAAATTAGTATTCATTAACATTGAAAATACGTTCTGAAATAAATTTATCTGAATAAAATATATCGACGAAATACGTTAACTTTTTATTTTAGAATTAAAATAACGAAAATTTTAGAATTAAAATTTAAATCGCAAATTTGAAAATAGCCATTCATTTACTCGACTTGAAATTTTTAAAAAAAAGATTAAAAGAGATCGGATTTATTGCAGAAATATTAATGAAGTATTTTTTATCGTTTTATAAATTTTTTTCTATAGAAATGGTAATGGTAGAAGTGGTAAATGGTAATTCTCTAGAAATGGTAAAGTAATTAAAGCAAAATAACAAACATATATGGCTGTTATTTCGCTTATAATTCTAATTGTATTTTATAATAAATAATTTATAATTTATTTTATAATAAATAAATGCAAAAAATATTGAAAATACCATTAATGCAGAATCCTGCTAATTATTAATTATTTACATTCCCTCTACTTGTCATCAATGTGGAATGATGATTGTAAAATTTCTTACTGTCATCATGGACGACATATAAAATTGGTACCGCGATTTCGCCCTCCTAAATATTTGCTTGGCGAAAGAGTTTACCGTTTCGCCAAAAATAATTCAAGTGCGTTGGTATATAAGTTAAAATTTTAAAGTTATTTAATAAGAAAATAAAAAGAAATCTGCTTGGTGACTGACTGGCTGATTAGTTTTTATTATCCATCATTTGTAGTTTAAATAGCTTTTCTTTTTTGAAGAGCATTCACCATTATTCAGTAGACTCGTTCCACTGTTCGGACCGGTCAAATATGCCAGGGAATCTCTTGGCAATAGGAGTACGAGTAATTCGCCAACATCACCCAGATTTTTTGGATAAGTTTACTTTGTTAGAACTTCAGCGTCGAACTGAGCAATGACCCACTGAACTCTACTCTCCTTCATTAAACCACACTGTCGTCTAAAGAAGAGTGGTGCGCCAGCGGATTTCAAGTCTCGATTCTCGATAGCAATTATCTTACCATTGAGTCATCGATGCTTAATTTATTAACAAAATGATAATAAATGCATGAAAAGAGATGTATATAATATATATATATATATATATATATATATGAATGTAACATAAACGCAATAAACAGTAGAGACAGTTTGTGATTATCCAGAAAAACTAGAAATTTCGCAAATTGTTTTTCTCATATGACGGATGTTTGGTTGGTTAGTTAGTTTACATAGGAAGATTATCGACAAAACAAGCAACGAGCACTTTATTATAAACTTTATTATTATATTGATTTTAAAAATTTAACTTTATAAATATTGATTTTAGAAATTTTTTTATAATCACCTTTCAATTCGTTCTTTTTTTTAAAAAATAGATTTACATAAATATTATTTATTATAAATTTGTTATATGTTTCAGAAAAAAATGTTTTTTTATGCATTATTACAAGCTTTTCTACTTGCAACTTTAATATTGGTTATAATACCAGCAATATTTGGAAAATCTTTTGGAATACGAGAGATTTATGTTCATATACTTATTAAAATATTTGAGGTATTTCACTCAATATTATTAATACTATTTTTGTCTATTATACCCGTTTACTAATATTATTACTAAAAGCTATCAAATTAGCCTGTTGAAAATTCCACAATTAAGTTGAGTTTCTCTCTCTTAAGATTCGCTTAAATAACTGCTTACATTCATTTGTAAATGTAACTGTGCATGTGTAGATGTGTAGGTGACGAGTGGATGCATGGTGTATATGTTCGCAATATTAAAAATTTTCTTATATTGTTATCGTTGATGATAATTTAGGTGATTTAAGTATAAATCAGGACAAAAACGAAAAAATTTATTTGAAAAATTTATTTAATTTATTTAAACGACTATGGTTTTTTTTTTTAAATGTATGACGATTAACGCATAATTTGTTGTTGTTGTTCAACAAGATCAGATGATTTTTGCAAAATTTTATTGAATTTTAAAACGTAAAAAAAAGTATCAAAATAAATAATAATTAAACAAACTTTTTATAAATTATTCATAATGAAGAAGCAATATTAATAAATTTGATTTCTTTTCTTAATCTAAATTCATTGTTAAATTATTAATTATTTTTAGTGGGGTGCAACCATTCAGGCTGAAGAAGATAACAATGAATTGGAAGACGATGAACAGCCATCTCATAAAGATATCATTGCAAAACAACAACAAAACAACAAAGGTAAGGAATAGAGTAAAAGATTGCATGAAATCTTTTTTTGACTTAATTCTCCTTCTTCTAACAGTTCTCACCATTACTAGTTAGACTCTACAAGGATAAGGCTTCCAAGCGACGCAGTTTGATGCCATTGTCAACAGCAATAGAAGCCATCTAAGTCCATGTATTGCTGGTCCAGCCATGCGTTCAAAATCTTTTCTGACCGTATATCAGTCCAGATCTTGACCGCTTTTGACGTCACAAAATTTGGCAATATTTGCGTCAATTTCCGTGGTGGACGACGGAGAAACGTGCTCTAACCAGCGAAGATGACGCTTTCTGATAACATTATTAATGCAAGTGGTATTTGAACGAAGGTGGGTGAGATCATGTGATATTTTATTCGCTCGACGGACCCGTAAAATATATCTTAGACAAGAGTGGTCAAAGATAATTTGTCTTTCGTTTTTATGGTTTCACGACGGCTTCATAAAGGTGTCAATGGGAAGAACACATTTCCAGCTGCCGTCATCCGGATTTTAATATCCGTATTTTGCTTTTGGTATTAGAGTGGACCCAAGATATTTAAAATCGGGCATTCCTCAATCAATGAATTTATTCCACAATGAATTTGTAAAAAGAGACATTTTATCAACTTTTTTTTGACTTAATAATTTTCTTTTTTTCTTTCATTCATTAGAATATTGAATAAGTTGGGAATAAAGTTGCCTTTGACCATAATTTGTTCATGGAATATGCAATATATTTATCACAATTTGTCACAATCGAGAAATATATACGAAATACAAGAAATAAATATAATACGAAAAATTCATGTGATATCGCTGTCATTTCTTAAATGTATTCTTATAGTAATTCATTTAGCAATTATTGAAAGAGTTAAAACAGAAACTATTCATGAAAAACTTCATAATTTCGATGAACATACAGGGAAACGTAATATTGTTAAACTGGTTGTTGACGATTCATTTGATTTCGTTATGGTATGTCTACATAATATTATACTTTACACTTTTTATACCTATAGTTTATACATTTAGTGAATGGAATTTTATAGTAATTCAGTATTGTAAGAATTCGGTATGATTGCCACCAAGAATCAAGAATGGCTGAGGTCGAATCCGGTCGACGCATCATTTATTTATTTATTGGAAACCAGCCAAGCAAGGCGCAAATGCCATGTGCTTGTATTAATAACAACAGTTAAAATAATAAGAATTAATGACAAATTTTGTGGTTAAGGCCAGATTTCATAATGTCCTTATAAATTAAAAATAGCATCATACTTCATTGGGTATCAGTGTGGCCGAACGGAGGAAATAAAGAGAGAGTAAAATGGCTCAGTGAGTTTTTGCTCAGTTCGCAGCGCCAGTGCTGAAGTTTTACTCCCGCAAAAGTATCCCACAAGAGTAAACCTATCCTTCAAAAATCTGGACGGCTCATCTGTACTTCTATCGCAAAATAATCCCTGGCAAAATTTATCTGATCCAGTAGGCTAGAGAAAGGAGCCTAATAGTAGTAATCGCTCTTAAGGAATGTTTATAATAAGTTCAAAATTTTGATGAAAATTTGGATATTTCGTTATTGAACTAGCTTGATAATTGATAGTTCAGGCAGGTATTGAGGCAATAATTGACGATCAAATTACAAAGAGTTTTAGAGCTGAGGAACTTGCTTCATGGAATCTTCTGACGCGTACAAGCTTTACTTATACGCATATAAAGTAAGTAAACTGCTATTCTAGCTAATAATCTTCATGTGCAGTCTATTTACAAAAGTTTTATCTTCAACTATGGAAATTTATAATTTTTTCAATTTTTAACATTTTTTTCTTTTTCTTTATAAAATCTCAAACAGCAATTTTAGTTGGAAACTAACTTTTCTATGGATTGCGGGTTTTCTGTTTCGATATTTTTTCTTATTTCCGATTCGCTTTGTTACATTTTTTGTTGGATTTTCTCTAATGGCGTTATTGACATTTATTATTGGCTTTATTCCCAATAAAAGGTATATTCATTTCAAAAACTTTTGTTTTTCTTTATTAATTAATTATACATTATTTATATGCGATATCGTAATGTTTAGGCAATTAATTTACGATTTTCCGCTTCACTAGGCTTCCGTTAAATAGAATTTTTGAAAAGCAAGAGGTACGCATCTATAGAATTGGAATTTTTTTATATTACAATTTACCCATAAAATCCTTTAAGTTCCCAACGCTATAAATTTTGATTTGAAAATGAAAAATTTCATAAAATATAAATTATCATTTACAAAAATTGTTTAACAATCAATAAGGTAATTTTAAGGATAAAGAGTTTTCTAAATCATCATGCTATGTGCATGTGCATGAGAATATTAGCCCGATCAATCTCAGCCATTATTCGCTTCAAAAATCGGTTCGTTTTTTGCTCTTTAATGTAAAAAGAACCATGAATGCTGTAAAAAGTATTAAATAATTCATTTAACTTAAAGATTTTAGAGAGAATCGTGCTGTGAAGAGTGGAATATGCGTTGCGAATCACACATCACCAACTGATGTGCTCATCTTAAGCTGTGATAATTGCTATGCAATGATTGGCCAGCGACAAGAAGGAATGCTAGGTAAAAGCTTGATATTTTAAAATAGATCAGTGACAAAGAGGAATCGTAGGTAGATTTTTTAAAAATTTTTTCAAGATATTTTAGATTTTTATATTTTCACAGTTTAGGTTTAATGCAGCAACTGTTGAGTCGTTCAGCTGATCATATTTGGTTTGAAAGAACTGAAGCTAATGATCGCCGAAAAGTCATTCAAAGGTTTTTTTTACCTCTGCCTGAAAGCCATTTTCTCTTCGAATATTCAATAAATAAAATCTTTCTCTAAGCAAATTGATTTAATTATAAAATTAAGACAAAATATTGAAAAATAATTCAAAAAAAAATAATACATTTCATCGTATTTCGGATATTTTTTTTATTAAATACATATTAATATAAAAATAATAAAACAAAAATAAAAATAAAGAAATTTTCTGTTGTAATAATTTTAAAAATAGCAAAAATATTCTATTTTCGGTTAAAATTTCTTCAGTACAAGTTCGCTTTTTAGCGAAATTTTTAGCTGAGATCAGATCCCTTGACCCTGACAATATCAGGAATAAATAAGCTATTAAAAAGTCCGGGTGGTGCTGGCGAACCATCTATACTTCTATCGCCAAATGACTCGTTAGCAAAAATTTCTAATCGAAAATATTAACAGCCAATGAAGATGGCATAATTAAAAATGGTGAGCTTAAGGTCATCAAATATATAAACTATCCGAATAAATGTTTTAGTATTTTTTATTCGGATTAATAGCGAGAAAGATTTCCAGGTTGCAGGATCATGTTGATGATCCCAACAAATTGCCGATTTTGATTTTTCCGGAAGGAACATGCATCAATAACACATCAGTGATGATGTTTAAGAAGGGATCTTTCGAAGTAGTTTTAATCACTCATTTGGGTTGCGATAAATAAAAAGTGCGATCCGAATTGTTTCATGAATTATTCCATATTTAGGTTGGCAGTACAATTTATCCTATTGCAATGAAATATGATTCTCGGCTTGGCGATGCTTTCTGGAATAGTAGTGAGCAGTCTTATGGAGAATATTTGTTTCAAATGATGACGTCATGGGCAATCACATGTGATGTATGGTATTTACCAGCGATTAGTCGAATGGTAAATATATTTTTCTGGAGAAAATAAAATCCTCAAATTTAAATTTAATTTTTAATTTTTTCTTTAGTTTCCATCTTTTTTGTGATTTGTGATTTGTGCCTAAGATTTTATATAATTACTGTATAATCACTGCGACTGCGATTACTCCTGAGGATTACTCATAGCCAGTGCAACCAGCCACAAATGATTAATTATTATTTTTTTAGGATGGTGAAAGTGCTATAGATTTTGCTCGCAGAGTGAAACATACCATTGCTGAAAAGGGTGGATTAGTTGATTTGGAATGGGATGGGCAGCTTAAACGCACCAAGGTTAGCTTCAACATTTTCTTCCACTATATTTGATGCCATTATTCGTTAAAAGGCTTAATTTCATGTATGATTCCGTTCTAGGTTCCTCCGAAGTTGATTGCTGAACATCAGAGGTTGTATTGGGGTTATCTATCAAATCTTGCATCCTTCTCTGGGAGTTCGGAGTCTTAATTCTTTTATGCGATAATTTTCCACTTTGTTCATTTGTAAATTTATTTTCTGACTGATTTTTTGAATTTATTTTTTGACATTTTGTTTCTGATATCAAGTAATATTATAATATAGTGAAATGTAAGAAATAATTGGTATGGAAGAAATCCCTAATCAAATAAAGATGAACAACTTAATTTAATACTATTATAGATTATAGAATTTAATATTATTATATCAGCCTTCTTATTATTTGATCTTAAAATTTCTTACATCGTAACACACCATATTACCAGAAAGAAATTCATCGAAAAATATGCTTAAATAAGATAATTCCGATCGATGAGCACAAATGTTTCTCCCTGATATATATTTTGAGTTGAGCTAATAGAATTTTGCAGCTCAGGTAACGTACCATATAACTGTGCTGATGATGACCGCGACCCACTATCTGACACTGAATTAAGCAGTGGCGTCCATAAATCTGTACAAGAACAAACCGATAATTGCGCATTAATTTTACAGATATTTGCATTCATCAAATTTTTTCGTTGGGTGGAATTCAGGAAATTTCTGCCAGCGGCATTCATTTCATACCAAGAACTTTCTTTGTCATTACTAGGAGTCTTGAAGTTCAGCTGTAAAATAAGTTCAGTTAGATGTTTTGCAACCAGGTTTGCTAGTTTTTAATCGATCAAAATTAAACATCTTCCTATCAACTTTGAAACTTTCTCAATCGTAGAGACATTTTTTGCTTTTTTAATTGACCTTTCCCACATTCAGCAAATAGAAAATTAATAGAAAATTTCATTTTCTAAAATCTTCATAAAATTAAATTAATAACAATAACATGATAATAGTAATGATTATATTAATTGAAACACCGATAAATAACAGAAACTACCATATTTCGCTCAAAGCAATCATTTGCACCGCAAATGGTAGGATTTGCATCGTATTTATTTGAAAAAAATGCACCATTCGGTTGTATTGTTGTTTCATATGCATTTATACCATAATTTACCTTTGGTAAGTAATTGTCGTATGCAATACTGTTGGGCATCCTCTATAATATTCATTTTTTATCACTGCATTGCTGTTCTTAAGTATTCTGAATAGATCGCTTATAATAGCAGAAATAAATAGTGCAATAGCTAAAAATATTGATTAATTAATATAAAAACTTGAAAAACACTTAAAAACTCAAAAAAGGTCTAAAATTTTTATTGTTAATGTAAATACTATTTTCCAGTTCTAAAAAAATTTTTTCATTTATCATTTCCAAATATATTTAAAATTTGATAAATTCTAAAATATGATAAGTATAAATATTTATAATAGGTATTTTAAAATTTTTGAAGCGGTTTATCGATAAATCTTCAAGGATTAATGTTTTTTTTATTATTATATTTGTTTTAGTATGGCTTAGTGGCTGATTCCTCTCATTTTGGAATGTTGTTGTTAGAATTCTACTCTTAATAAGCTTGAACTGAATATACTCTTAATTAGCAGGAATAAGCTTGTCTTTCGTAAATCTTTTGGCCACCTATAATTCCACCCAAAAGTGACATTCCAGAAAAATTTGTCTGATCTGACAAGTCAACAGAGCCAGCCTAACCAGAAATAAGTTTTTTCTAAATTTAAAAAACAAAGAATTGAAACAAAATATATACCAAGTGACTCTATGGTGAAAGGGTCAGATATTCTTGATACGGCGTCTGCGTCTTCCGACGCGCATAATATTCCCAGCATGGTGGTACATGCGATATACAATCCGGGTGTAATGCGATTCCGAGGCTGATAAATAAATAAAATGTGCTCACAAGCCAGGGTAATTACTCAAAAACCTATCAAAAGGAACAGTTCTCTGCACGCGCGGCAACGTATTAACCGTATCAACGTGGAAGAACACTTATGGATATTGCAAGTCAAGCGATCATTGTCCACAAACTTTTCTTGTGGATATCGCCTGCTTGTCGTCTTCCTTATTTCGGATCTCGAGTGATTATTAATCCGAGCAGAGATACTGGCAGAGGTACTATGCTGCTTCGGATAACTCGGGGCGAAATGTCTATAAGGCCCATTCCGCTTTGATTGAGTGAAAACCGGCAAGTGATCCGTATGGCCTTTGGCTTATTTTAAAGGTAAATTCTGCAATATCTCGGTCATTAATATATATACTCCAATTTTATGCGTAGATGACCGTGATAAAGATAAGTTTTATGCAGAACTTCAACTGCTAACAGAGTCTTTACCGAAACATAACATGGTCATAATCTGGGGAGACTGGAATGCGCGCATAGATCATAATGCCGCTGCAATGATCTCGAAAATGGGCAAATATGGTATTGGAGACTGGTGCTGCAATGGGTAACGCCTTCTTCGTTACGCCGAAGAGCAAGAACTTTTTGTTACTAATATTTGTTTCCAGCATCGTAGAAAACGTAACGTAGAACTCCCCGGATAATCAAACACTCCTACCAAATTGTTTATATCTTAGTCAGTCGCCATTGGAAGAGTTCCGTACTAGAAAGTCGTTCTTATCGCGGAGCTGAAACGGGCAATCTTCTGATCATGTGGATCTGACCATGTTATGGTTTGAGCCAAGATCCGTATAAATTTGACAACTCGCAGAAAACAGCATCCCCCAAGATCCTTCTATCTTAAATTAAAAAATTCGAAGACAGTGAGCGCATTTCAAACCGAATCATAGAAATATCTCAATGGTGCAAATACCAATGTATCAATGACTTTATCAATGATTTTTCTGGAACGGCAAATGAATACTGGTCCAAACTAAAGGAATGCCTCAAAAAGTTAGCCACGCTAAGGCATACTAGTAGGAAGTATGTTAGTTGGGTATCGGAAGCAATTGTCCAACTGTCTGAAAAAGCTGCCAAAACACGAATGTCAGATGATTTTGACTATCAGTTGCTTCGAAAATTTGCAACAAAGGCAGCACAGCCGGACAAAAATCACTATTGGATTGACATGGCCTCAAGAATGGAGACGGCCGCTCGATCAGGCGATAATAGGAAACTATTCCTCTTTTTTCATAAAACAATTCTCCCTTTGGGAACGACTACTGAAATGGTAAGGGACTGCAATTGCCGGTCAAAAGAGTATTCATAGGACCGCTTCATAAGATGGAAAGGATTTTTTGAGACCAAACTTAACCATGAAGCGCCATCTGTTGCCCCTGATATAGCTGATACGTTCGCTGAATCATACGCTTGTAATTGCGAATCTCCAACAGAAGAAGAAATAATTTCCGTTATCCATAAGCTAAAAGCCAATAAGATTCCAGGAGAAAATGGTCTTCGGCCGAATTCTTCAAATGTTGTCAATCGTCCTTCATAATAAATGTACTCTCTGGTATGGGAAAAAGAATTATTATCAGATAATTGGAACAAAGCAATTCTGCTTCTAAATTCTCAAGAAAGATAGGACATATTGACAATTATCGAGGAATCAGCTTACTAAACGTCTCAGCGAAAGTTTTTACTTCCATTTTATTCAACAGACTTATGGAAATACGGCACAGCGAGATGTGCTGTAATTAAACTGGATTCAGACCATAGCGCAGTTGACCAGAAATTCACGTTAAAAAGAGTGTTGGGACATCGCCTCAGATATCTGCAACCCCACATCATGTTTCATCGACTTTGGGGCTGCCTTTGACTCACTTGATAGAACGCTTTGGAGAGTGGTGGAATGTGACGGTGTTCCAGAGAAGATTCGACTCATAAAAGCATTTTATGGGCGTACATCAGCAGGCACAAGTCTTTGTATATGGGGGTTGACAGACTCCTTCGAAATAAGAACTGGTTTCCTTCAAAGTTGTGCCCTTTTCCCTACAATATTCAGACTATGCGATAGACTGGATAATAAACACCGCTTCTCGGCACTCAAGAGGTGCCCAAATCGTTCTAATCTTGAATACGCTGATGATGTAGTCCTTTTTGCTGACAATTATGGCGAAATGCAAATAATACTAACGTGTCAACAACTGCAGCGAGAATCGGACTCAGGGTCAATAAAGCCTTTTCGTCTTATGTGAAAGAATACTTCTTTTTTATAAATTCATTATCGGCCCGATTTTTAATACGGTCCACTCTAGTACCAAATGGTCATGCAAAAGACGATATTACGACCAGGATTACAGCAACTAAAAAAGTATCATTCCGGTTGACGAAGTGTTTATGCAGATAATATAAAAAACGATATGATATGGACGCACTACGATTCGCAACGCAATAAACTGTTAAAAAATTGTTAAATTTGTCAGATAAAGGTGATTATAGCACCAAAATCGCCAAAAAAAGAAAGCCATTTGCAAATAAATTGAAAAAAACAATAAAAAAACTTGCAATGAACATCGCAAACAATTTTTCGTACGAAAAATTTAAAAGGAAAAATGCAATTTTTAAAGTGTAAGATTTAATATCAAAAATCGGTAACAAGAAAAATTCGACGTGACTTAGGGAATCAAACGAGCAATCCAGCACTTTTGCCTCTTTGTTTCCAAAAATTTTCACGTTACAAAATATTAAACTTTCATTTAAAGTCGAACATACACCTCATGAAAATTATCACTTTTAAAAAATTATTTGAACTATTATCTTCCGTTCCATTCCGCTCTTCTATTGAAACTCTCAACAATAACTTAAAATAATTTTAAAAATAACCCATTCTATTTTTTCATTTAAGTATAAAAAATCAGCTTATTATCAAGCAATATATTATATTAATTGAACATACATTATAATTCTGCGTAGAATTTACTGCGTAAAAATCCATTGAATTAAAATGTTTTGAATTCATGGCTGGACCCCAATCTATTACAACCTGTAAGTTGTGGAATTACTTTAACGAATGGACATCCGAACATTTCCTATTGAAACAATACTAATCACAATTGGAGCAAAATAATCTATTCATAATTTTTTTTCAAATTTATGATGGTAGTAAAAAATACCTTTCCAAGGAGTACTAAACCGACGACAATTGTGGTAGGCCCAGCCAGCCACACTTTGCCTATTATAGAGTCTTTCTGGAAAATCGCAAAAACGCTGAAAAGTAATCCGATCGATATAAGGCAGAACGATACAGAACCATAGCTGAAACACATAAAACACTGAATAAGATAATTTAAGATATATAGAAATTTCAAGATTCAAAATCAAAAAATATTCCTTTTCGTACTTTAATTAAACAAAAAATATTAATTAACAAGATGAACCACTCGATTCAATTTAATTAAATTAATATTACGCCCAATTAAATACCAGAAAAAATCCGAAAATTATAAGAATTGATCGTAAAAATCTGAATAGTTTTTGTAAAACTATTTGCCTTTGCAAATTTTGTTTTTTTTATCAAAATTAAAAAATCAGAAAGAAAAAATTTCTTAATCGAGCTGGGAACATATATTCATGAGATAATCACTTTAATATCTAAGTACTGTTAATCTGCGGTCATCCAGGCTACAAATATATTAGTGAATGTGACTTTACTAGTAGAAGTCTCATATTTTCAGGCAACATTCATTTATGTTTGCAGAGTGGGCAAGCCATGAGCTTTTAAATTATATTTCTCTATTTCATTTTATGCGTTTAAATGCATTATTTGGAGATAGAGGCCAGAGATTTCAAGAGAAAATCTTGTTATACTGTCAAATGGGTTCGTGGTGCAAGAAAGGTTAAGAAATTTTATTTTAAGCATTCTATTAGCGCTATAGAATTTCTCATCCCAATAAAAACCTATTGTCCAAAAACCTAAAATCTGATGAAAATCAAACAGTTGGATCATTTGAATGGGCACTTCGATTTTTTTGTTTTATAATCTTTTAGCAAGAAATATCGTTGTAATAATTATTAAGAAAATAATAAAAACTTTTATTCTTAAAATTATAATGCTTCTTTAACGTTTCTTTTTTTCTATTCCTGTAGAAAAGATAAAAAACGAATAAAAAATACAACATAAAGTTAGTAGTTGAAATTACTTGCTATGCACCAACAATGCATTGAAAATTTTGAAGAAAAACCTGATTAAATGAATTTGGTGACGATGAATGCCGGATAGCGGACAGCACATTAAAGTAGCTCCAATAGGAGCAATTGCTCATATATTTTTAACTTATCACCCACTCGACCTTAGCTGAAAATTATACATTATTCATGAGTAGATAATAAATATATAATAATTGCAGTCATTACTTCCTTCTTAAATTTTTTATGAACAAATAAACTCCGTGCTTTTATAATTTAAGAAAAAAATATTTGCAAACAAATTCGCCGTTATGGAATTGTTCGAATAGATCAAATAGATCCATGACGACCTTTCCGCTATATTTTTGCAGAGTATTTCACTAAAGATCTAAGAAGAACGGCAGATTTCATATGAGCACAAATAACGAATTCCAAAGCAGCAGTACCAACATAAATAAATAAAACCTAAATTTTGTGCAATTAAGACGGAGAAAACGAAAGTGCTCAGATGAAAAAGAATTTTCGGATTTTTATTAAGAATATATGCAGCGAACAATCGATCAGTTCAAGCATTCAGATGTGTAAAATTAAATAAAAATTTTTTCTATCTGCTTTCCGCCGCAAATTTTCTCTTAAATGAAAGAAATTTGCCGTCAGCGGAAAATCTTAAAATCTACCAATTTTTTAGAAGCTATAAAATATACTAAACATAATATATAATATAATATACTAAATATACCGCTTCTTATAAATACCAACAAATATTTCCTTAATCTTTATCAATAAATCAACAGTTTGTTTAATGGAAGTTAATGAAAAATCATGAAAAATTTCAATATCATGGAGGTAAAAATATTAAATAAAAAATCATTGCGAGAAATGAAATGGCATGATGAAATATTTTTTTTGGAGACTTCAATGAGACAAGGCAAACTTTAAAAATTAAGAATTATCGTGAAAGGAACTTAATTTCCATACAAAACCATTGATCAGCTAGCGAAATCTAATTCGTTCACTTTGACCTAGCAAGGCTTATTTTGCAAATTCTATTTGTGATATATTTTTAGACATTTATAACGATTTAAAAAAAGGCCCCAATCAATTCAAATGATCTGTGCAAATGGTGATATTTGGTGTATTCAGCTTATGCACAAATATGGAGTCGAAATGCACTTATATCGTGCATTTCATATAATTAGACTTAGACATAGGTCCAACATTTAGGCTAGTATGAGTCAGGATAGCTTAAAGATTGTTACTCAGCTTTTATCGAGCATCCTAGCTTGGGTCCTAACACCGACAATCTGCTGTTAAAAAGTCGAATTGGTGCTGAGGATCCAAGGATGGATCTTTGTTTCTATCCTCAATTAATCCCCTAATAAAAATTTCTAATTGTGCTGAAAGCAGTATAATAAACCTGCCCAGTACAATAAACCAGAAATGAGGAACATTAAATACCTATTTGATATTACAAGTTTCCTTAAGATATATAGTAAATTATATAAGATCTCATCTACCTAGTAGTGACTACCTAGTGGTCACCTAGTGGAACACGATGGCTAGTCGAGTAAATCTAAGATCATCGGTCATATAGAGCTCTTTTATTATCATTCTTTTCTAAGAACAGTCCCCCATCTGGTTATGCCCGTTCAGATAGCTTATCGAATCAACCAAATTTTATTATGAACCCACTTGGCGATAGAAATACAAGTGAATCATTATGAAAACTCGGCGTATTATATATTATGCATTTTATATATTATATTATTTTATATATTATATATTATTATATTAAATATTATTTTCACGTTTTCTATCACACATCCATTACCATAGAATGTGATCTACGTTCATATGTGTTCATTTAATAGGCTGATTGATCTGTATTCTAAAATTTCTTATATCGAAATTCTAATTTTCAGAATAATTCTAAGAAATATTTAAGGTAATATTTAGGAATAGGCTTGAGGCATTAAATATTCAATCGTTATCTTCAGGTACTTTATTCTAATTCTAATTCAGAGTTCCACTATCACTCGATGCATAGTCACAAACAGGACTTTGGATTTTATCAGCTAATATTTCAGATTTTTTTTCTTAAATATCCTCTTTTGTTCGATTTGAACTCATTATTATTTCAATAATATCACATTGATTTTTCAATCTTTTTACATTCGCCCTTACTTATTTTGCCATAGTTTAGTTCAATGCAACTCACCAATAAATACGTTATTAAATTATTAAATTAATTAAATTAATTATTAATTTTAATGAATTTTTAGTAATTTTGATAAGTTTGATTTTCGATTCAAATCCACCAATTTCTCATTTCTTTTTTTAAATTTTGCATATTTACTACCAAACTAAAGAAGTAAAATTATAAAGAATTATAATACATTACTCTATTCCATAAATATATTTGTATAATAAATGTTTCACAATGAAATATGAAATATCATCGAGAAAAATGTAAATAAAATGGATATTATGATTACATTATCTTGAAAAAATAATAAAAATAATAATAATGTAAATATTCTTCTTAGAAAGAAATTTGGTAAAAGCACCACTGAAGTAGATTTGATTGCTTAAGTTAAGTTCAACCATGGCAAAGATTATCCCTCTTATATAATTACGATCGCTTTTGGGATAATCCTTCTCTTCAGAATCTTCCATGACTACCAAGAACTCCCACTTAATGCATTGACGCGCAAGGATTTGATTACTGTAAATGCTAGTCGCCTCTATGCAATTTCAAATATAATTTTAAGAAGAAATGACAAAGCTTGCGATTCAAAACTGGTCACGAAGGATTATTAAATATGTTCAATGAATAGAAAAACCATATACTTCTTATTTCTTAGTGAATATAATTAGAATTTTTGAATAGATAGCTCTTAAGAAAAATTATCAAATAGCCACTCTGGTTTCACAAGCGAACTACCGTATTGGACAGATAGCTGTAAACGAATATCATTATTTTTGCCTCATAGTGTGCATATAAAGAGATTATTCTTTAGTTTGGCAGTAAAATTCTGGAGGTTTGCGAATATTTGTTGATCACAAGCATCGTCCCAATCTCTTGCTTGATGATTCATGTCAATTATTAAAGATTATTCATCTAATAACAAAATGCGCATGGATTAAAAAAATTTCTGAACAATTCGTTCGCTATTTAAAAAATTGAACGAACATAATTTAGGTTTAATCGCTTTGCATATGAAATTATTGGTTAGTATGATTGATTCTCCACTATTTTTCAATATATTTGTTGACTATAAAAGCATTTTTATGAAACTCAGAAACACAAAGTGAAATTCGTTAGAGAATATGAAGAATTTTTTTGTTGCCTAATAACCATAATAACATATTAAAATCCTATTTATTTTTTGTGATATTTTTTTGATAACTAAATTGTTTTCAAATTTTATTAATTGTAAGATAATGGTTTTATTATATTATTATATATTTTAAGGTAAATTATTGTTGTTGTTTCATTTTTTATTATTTTTGCCGATTAATAATTATTATTATTTATATTATTATTTATTATTCATATTTTATAATTATTCATTAACAAATTATGAATATTTAATTTACCATTTATATTATAAATGAATTAGTAGCTTTCAAATTTTTATAAATTGGCTGAATTAACTGATTAAAAACAAATAAATATAGATAAATTATAGAATGAATCAATAAAGAAATTGGATAGTAAAAATAATAAATATCAATATAAATTAATGAGCAAGCATCTTCTCATATTGGTATGTGGTTAACACTCATAATTTCTCGTTATGCTCGCTTCGCTGGCCGTTGAAAGTTTTATGAAATTTTTGCCAAGAACTCATTTAGAAGTGCAGTTTTTAATGACAGGTTTAGTTCTGCTATTATCATGAGATGAGCCTATGCCTCAAACGATAGGCTGGCTTATCTCTGAAGCACTATCCACTTGGCACCTGCCCTTCATTCTCCTATTAGGCGAATCGATAAAGCAAATGCGATGACCATTAATTGAAAGCCTTAAATTGAAGTGAGAATCAATTTTACCAACTGGTAAGCGTAATAATGCAATTAACTTAAAAAATATTTAGCTAATAAGTTAGAATTCGGAAAAAAAGTAAAGAAAAAGAAAATTTTTTCTAATCAATAATCGATTAAAGAAATAAAACATTAAAACATATTGGCAATATCCGCAGAAATCTTGAAAATTCCAAATGATAATGAGAAATGCTAATAAAATTGTAGGATATTAATAATTTCTATTTCTCAGTACTATTAATTATACTAAATATTGGATATCTTTAAAAATTAATTGTAGTCAAGCATTAGCAAAGAACATATACATAGCAATAAAAAATGAAATATTCAAGGTGTAATCTGAGAAAAAATGGCTGAAAATCTGATTTAAGGGACTGATTTAATAATAAAGAATTTATATATTTTTTCAATGAAGAAAGCAAAAAAGAGGAAAAAGTTAAAATTTAAATGAAAAAACTGTTGGTTTCTCATGGCTATTAATCAAAGCAATAGAAAATTTATTCATTAAAGGCTTGTTTAAAGGATTGAGAAAATAAATTTAATAAATTGCCATTTTGCTTTCATTTTGAAGATCCTTAGAAAAACGATTTGTTAAATTACGCAGCGATTATGCAAAGAATTTAAAGATTTCCAAAATTTTCTGAAATCTTTGAACTTCATTAGAGAAATAATTCAAAAGTAAATGGTGACACATTCATTTATTCAAATTCTTTTGAGAATTTTTTTCAAAATTAAAATTGATGGATTAATCTTCAAATTCGGGTGGTGCTGGTCTTTTGCCGATGGATGATTCAACAGAGTACTTTTTTCATTCCTCATTTTCCTCATTTTCTTTCTTATTAGTTGCTTAATATTCCAGCCTGACTTGACAAATATTATATAGAAAATATATTCTAATAATAAATATTGTCGTAAAAAAAAAATTTTGAAATTCACTTTAAATCTAAATACGTTTTGCAGAGTTCGTGTTTTTTTTATTACATCTTCAGTCCAATTACTTTTCATCATCACTGTAAGGATCATTGTAATAATCACGTTTTATAAATGCTAATTTCAAACCGA